ACTTTTTTTCTCTATATTTTGCATGACTATTAGTACTTTCGAAATTTGTATTCGAAATTTTTGTATTCATAATAATACTCCAAAGGAAATTTGTGCCTAAACACATGCATATTAAGCAGCTGAGTTTACTTTTATAACGATTTGACCGTAATATCGGTTTCATGAAATCTTTATTTCAGATCGTTTCAGGATCAAGCGAATGGAGAGATAATTTATTTAGAGTAAGGTTAGGTGCAATTAAAAAACCTGTAAGATAATATCATGTTGAGCTTTTTTCTCGGTCATATAAATGAGGAAAAACCGAGTGAATTTGTTTTAAAAGTCGCAATTATGGTTAACCAGGAATACCACATCCAAAATATGAGAATTGGAAAAAGAAATTAGAACATTTTTTCTATCAAAATGGTTAATTATGTCTAATCTGATATCTTATGCTCTTTATGTTCATATATTTCATGTATATGTCGCAGACGAAATTAAAATTCTCCTGAATTTTAAGTTCGCCTGCGACATATAGTTCTAATAAATTAAATTCTATTCACAACAACGTGGAAGACTCTAATCGATCTAGATATACGTAGTTTTTGAGATCAGTATGTATGAATACAACATGTTAGTAGACGAAGTTTTGTAAAAGTCATAGCTGTTTACTCAAAAGATATTTAGAAAAGTCTTATTCTGTAACAAAAATAAGACGTTCCCTTATTCTATGTGAATGAAGAGTTATGACTATTACAAAACTTGACTGACTTACACAAAAGTGAACTTTTACGTGTACAGACAGTGTACAAAGAAAATTTACAAAGAATTATTGGAATATAATTGTTCAAGACTTACCAGTTTGATTAAAAGATGATAACACTTTGATATAATGTACGAGTTATGAGTCATCTTTCAGTTCAGTCCAACATTCCAAAATCAGAAAGAATTCAGAAGATCTCGAATTTCTCATTGTAAAATATCTTATCGATAAGAATTCAGATTATCTCGAATCGTCGTTTCCTTGGATATATTCTCATTGTTCATCGTATTATATTAATAAAAGAATGTTTGTCATTATTTCGGAAATAATGATGTATATTGTTCTGTTAAATTTTTCACGTTTGTCTATTAGTACTTGTAATTTCTGGATATTTCAATATATATTCAAGTATTTGATTACAATACAACTAGAAACCTCTACTTAATTGTATATCGATGCGTGTTGTTTCAACATTATTCTTTATTTTTCTTTGATGAAAATATGAATTTTATTGGCGATATTTAAAAAGTATACGGTTCATCAATATGTTAAAGTACTCAAGTTCAAAGACAATATGTAAGAACGGATTATTTAGTAATTGAAACTTGTCTCTGATTCTTTACCATTTTTATATTCAGCGACGTCATTTTCAGCTGTATTTTCATCTACTTTTTATTATCGATAGAACTCATGCCTTTAGTGAGCAATTATTCAAAAGTACGGAAAGTGAGATTTAAAGTTTTTGCGAGTACCTTTACTAATCTATGCACAGTTCAAAATGACAAATTTTATCACTAAAGCGACTTTCACTAGACATTATTTCATTTTTAGCCACAAGTTGGTATACAACCAGGTGAATTAATTTCAGAAACTGTCTATATAAAAGAAGAGGAAATAAGACCAAAAGTCAAACAACGATTGTTAACCAAGAAAGTTTTGACGGTTAGTTTGAATTATCTATTCTATATTTGCTAGTATTTGCGTTTACGTTATTTAGACGAATATCAGTCGTTGCGAATGCTGTTGTCCACCGTTTTGTTCTTTTTTATGTCGAAGTTGTTTATTTCCATGCTGGGTCTATTTATTACTAGGTTTGGTTTTTGCATTGCTGCTTGCTGCCATTATCACTGAATTAGCACTGCTTCCAGGTGGAGAGTTTCTTGTTTTGGGAAATATGTCAGTTGTAAACAATATGTTTTTTTTATTTTAGATTTAAATCCTAATTGGCGCACGCCAAGATACCGTGATCGTACTATTACGATAAATTGCACTCAATTCATAGGTATTTTTGTCCCAGATAATAATACAGCGCCAGTCGATGCTACAGCAGAAACCACACTCTCCACTACGCCATCCACCACACAGCTGGCCTCAACATGCATCACAGGAATTGCGATAACATCTGACGCTACAGTCAAGGCATTTACCATCTATCCATTCATTATTTTGCACATAGTTTTCTTATTTCGTTGTAAATAATGAATTGATTGTTATGGACGCAATAAACGGATATACGTGTCAACTTTTGAAATATGAAAGGTATATTTCTTACATTTTCTATTATACTCTAAAAAGAAAATTCAGTTCGTATTAACTGAAAACAAAATTTTTTGTGCATATTTTTATATAAATAAAAACGGAGCTATGAATTAATTAATACACTTACATCATAAATATTTTTATAATCATCATGATAATATTGTTCATATAGCATTTTTAGCACAGAAGCTACAGAATTATTCGTTGAATTAGCATTAAAAATGAATTCTATTCTATTTCTTACATAAATTAGATTGATAGTGTTAATATCTTCATATAGTACTAGTGTACATCATCATGAAGTTTTTTTGCCATGTATTTTTTCCTCAAATAAGAAGGAATACACATGGTTTTGTATTATGTATTTTCCTAAATTAGAGTTATTTTTTATCCACAGATTCATATTTCATATTTTAATACAAATATTTTTTAGATTGACCGCGTACACATGTAATTATTCTGTATGAACAGTACAAAAGAAAAACGAAAAAAAACTTCGAGACTTCAATGCATTGACCCTTCTAATTATTACATAGACTATATATCATTTAAAATCTACATTTGTGACTCAATTTTTTGTAGCATCAAAACATACAAAAAAAGAAATTATTTTTTTTATTCTCATCCGGTAAAAAAAAGAACATAACCTGTTTTAATTAGATGTCTATTTTCATTTGTAAATCCTCTCACTCAAAAAAAAAGAAGAGAAAAAAAAAATGTTATTTCGTATGTATTCGAAATTAGACAATAGTTGTTTGAATTTTTTATTATTTATATATTTATACTCAATTAGTAATGGGATGCACTCAATGCACTCAAAGACAAACATCATCTAAATTTTTATCGAATAATGATATTGAAGTATTACAAACATTTTGGCAATCAATATTATCGAATGATTATACATCTTATGGTGTTAAATTAATGTTAAAGTATTTTATTTAAATAATATCAGTAAAGAGATGAAATTTTTTCATCATTTTTATTTTTTTAGTTTATTCGAACAACATCCTGAAATAAAACATTTATGGACATTTGGACAGTATATATCTGTTCATGATATATGTAATGAATATGAAAATATTATATCAAAAACAGATCAAATATGGAAAAAACAATTATGTGAACACGGTGCAAAATTATTTGGTATACTCAATTTTATTATTCTAAATATAAAAGAGCCTCAAAAATATCAATTATATCTCTGTGAACTGGGATCAAAGCATTATTTATTCGGTGTTACAGAAAATTATTTACCGGTTAGTATTGTTGATATAAACTTTATTTGAAAATGAAAAAATTTTAATACAAATCGAAATTGCGATCCAATGGATTACATTGTATCAATTTGCAAAAGAGCCTTACAGAAACAGATAAGCAGGAAAGATAATAACAGACTCTATGGGCAAGAGAGAGACGACTTTCAATGAATTCGTACAGATATGAGATAGAGATGTATCAGCTTCGGTATCAAAATACAGCAACTCAGACGGGCACTTAAAAACGTTTAGTATCCGAGATAAAATCATATATACAGTTATAAACAAAAAGAAATGTCTGTTTATTGGGAATACCTTTCAAAAGTATTCAAGTCTAGTCTGATGCCCACATTATAAATTTAAATAAACTGCATTAGTATCTTTATGAGGCATGCACAGAGTAATTGACTAAGGATTTTATATTTTTTCCAGAACCTGCCGTTTCGTAAATTGCTTCGTTCGAAATTTTCTGACTTGGTAAGAATGTAGAGCAAACATTTCTCTAAAAAATGAGAGATTGAACAGATCTGTACGATTTATTTTGAGATTTCGGCAGCGATACTTCAAGAATACATAATCGAGTATCGATTACTCGATTAGTCTCTTATGGAGACATTGTTGCCAAAATCTCAAAATAAATCGTACAGATCTGTTCAATCTCTCATTTTTTAGAATAAACAACTTTGATGACAATTTTATAAAATTTAACCACAT